GTCACATGACCGGATGCGGCATAGGTAAACGATCAAAATCTGCATTGATTGGATTTTTTCCAACTAATAAACTCCATTACGTATCACTGACTATGATCGCTGGGAATTCACCGGCTGGATTCGTGACATGACTGAGGCGAAAGAAAAGTCAGGGCTACAACCAAACGAGCGAATGGATTCCAAGCGTGAGGACAGAATGTGGAACCAGAAGTTGGTACTCATTGGCGGCTAACCCAGCATATGAAAATTGTATTTTTATTTTCTGCCTTCAAAGTTACGTTCTGCAAGGAAAATGCCAAGAATTGCTGCGTGTAGTCAACAAATGTTGTACTGAATATCTCTTTCTATTAATGCAGCAGTGCATCAAGTCAACTATCTACCACTAGTATATTCTATGAGTGAGGTTGCATGGTCGGGGACTTGGGCACTACCTCCGATGGCTATGGATGATTTTACGCCGTTCATTCCATTTACCGTTAAGAATCACAGGCTGCCCCTCCAAAACGTTGAGTCAAAATCGCGACAGACCTCGGGTACTATCCGCTCTTCATCGTCACATGATCGTCCTTCATTCCGACTGTCCTGTTTGAACAGTTGTTGAATCTTCCAACAAAGGTTCTTGTTCACAGCATCTTTGTACGGACAGAACACTCTGGCAAATCCTGCCGTCGCCTTCAAACGTTTTCCGTGAATATTGAGCGCTTCTATCCGTATATCGCCAGAAACTGCGGTTTGCTGGAGCAAAGATATTAATGGCGATTATGTAATCTTGATGAAGATGATTGTTTACAGTATAATGAAGAAAAGTTGTTTCGAAATGGTTAGTTGACTACTCTAAGATCGATTTGTACTGATCTGTATGTCTCGTACATACCAGCAATGCGGCTATTTGAGATTATACTGTGATGAATATCTTCTATATATGACTATTTCGCAGTGCTTGTTTAAGACTCCAAAATGGTGGATTCACTGATACCCAAAACAATGGTTGCAACGGCATAAACATCGAAAGATGTTCATATGTCGCATTTACAAAGAATCGTTCCTCCAAGACAAAATTTCATGACTTATTTCGTAGCCTCCTTTCTCTTAGGTGCCACGACTCAAATAGTAGGCACTCAAATACCGTTTAGACATGCATGTCTCGTACATTTCGCAGTGAGATACTGTCCTTAAGGAATCGTGGACTATTTGGTATATTCCGATTCCGATATGCGAACAACTTATTATCTTTATGCGCTAGCAGATAGAATGCACCGGCTTCTGCATGGGGCCAGATGACTACAACGGGCAACATGAAGCGAGGTGCATCCGGCACTGCAAGTGTTCAAATGTTCAAACGGAGTCCGTAGAACCTTGATCTGCATAATGGCCCTGTTGGCACCAAGAGCAAGGTGAAGGCGAATTTTTGTTTTCAAGGAGTCACGCGTTATTGATGAGAATTTTACAGTTTCCTCGAATGAGCTTTTGATTCTGGGTGCATAAGCATCAGCGGACTGATTTCATTATTCATGGCTGAAAAATCCCAATGTAACGCAGTGATGGATATCTTTTACTCACAGTTTACTAGGAATCGATGTCAGATCGTCACAAGTAAATAATTTGTGCCAGCAGGTAGAAGTAAATTTTGCATTCATTCTGTCCTGACGATGTTACCGATGATGGGATCGAACTTTTGCTAGCAAATCCTTCCTATTTCTATTTTGATTCTGAGTTTCCTAACCATGCATCAAGCAAGCAGTTCGCTGAGAATGTCAGAACCATAATTTGATGAAACCTGATTGATCACATCAGCCTCGCAATGCTGCTAAAAGTTTAGGATATCCACGATGCCTAATCTCTAATGGCTGACTGCAGTTGGTAGAATTTTGTTGATCACATTTAAAACGCTTAGGCCAACACCTGGTTTCTCTAACGAATACGCCGCCCTTCGTTTGACCTTAGTCGCCTGTCGCCAGCATAAATTACTTTCAGGTCTCTAAACCAATGTTTTTCATGATTCCTTAGTCGTTCTTAAAGTTCGGCGAGTCGTTGCAAGCATTCAATGTCAGTAGTTCACGAATAATTTCGTGAGTCAATTGGCATCAATTAAAAGTCTTCAAGCAATTGTCGAGTCAAAATGTCAGTCAAGAACGCTGACCTGCTGCCCTGCCACCAAAACCAGTACCAAAACCAGTCAGTAGTTTATCGATGATAAAATGAACCGATGGCCAGGAGTTGATCTGATAAAAAGAACAGCGAGGATCCGTTAAATGTCTGGAATACAAATTTATCTTTTCCCGAAAAATATCTTCTTCTTTACCAAAAATAATTCCGCCGGTAAAAATAAATTATCCTATCATTTCTGCTGATTTACACGGACTAGTGCATCGGGCCTTATTTCGGACAGAGACGTATTCGTTTGTATTTGAGCATGTTTTTGTTAGACCCAACGCTGCAGGTATCAAAACACAATATAGCCGTGGCCTGCTTGAATGGTTCCCTAGGCTACGAGAGGCAGTGAACGATGCCCAAAGTAGTATAAATGCGGAGATGGGATTTGAGAATATTTCTTTCTAAATTAAGACAACAATTAATATTGTTTAACTTCATTCGAGATGGCCCTTAGTGGCAGTTAATCTGCGTAAGAATACCACTTATCTATCAAGCCGTATCCTACAGCAATTTTTCTCTGGTTTTTTTCGACATAATTTCTGCATTGAAACTAACATCAATAAAAATCGATCCCTGTATTATGGGCTTACTAGCAAACTGATAGAATGCCATACCCCAGCCAAGAACAACAATTTTCTGTCAATTTCTCGGATTCCCACGGAGTAGTCTTGCATGTAGTAAACCGGGAATAAGCAGGCCACAACTACGCGGCATTTTGGCAGCTGCAACGCATGTGCGAATCTGGATAAGTAATTGGAGACAACTGTTATTCTTGTCGGTGGTATTGAACACTAGCACTTTGCCGGTAAACCCACAATACCTGAGTTATTTTTTAATTATATACGCCTAAGGATTGGTGTCGGTGTTCGCAGCAGGGTGTTGCTCTGATCCCTTCAAAAATATCACGGCTATGACGTAGTTAAACGGCCATTTAGGCTACCAGTAGCAAGGGTATGGGGCGACTACGTCGTACGAATCCGAAGAAGTGGCAGAACATTGCTAGCTTGTCATTGTATGCAAATTTAATAGATTCATATTCTGGACGTAATGAATTAGCAGAATATCACACAATCACACGCATAACATCAAGTTGAGACTGGTGTTTAAAAATCTAGGCTCAGAAAGACAAAACAATTCTGAAGGGGAATTCGAAACTTGATGTCATAAATGACTTTTACACTGTGATCGAATGCTTATCAACCGTTTTTGCAACCACCTTAAGCTCAACGCACTGGATTTAGGAACATTCAGAAACAGATGCCGTGCTTCTTAAATTGAGTTCATTCCCTGGAGACAACTGTACTATAGGTTTTCGCTCCAGGAATGACAGGAAGCCAACTTGGAGCTAAGTGCAATCCAAAGCATCGTTCAAGTCACCCAGAGAAGCGCATATCCTTGAAAGATATGGCACCGTATAATGTATTAAATTATCCGTTTACACAGACGACAATAACTACGGATAATCATAATCATCCATCTGTCAATTGGCGATACCGTTCATTCTCATTAACGTCTTCCATAAATATTTTAAATCTGGAGTACGATTCAATAGTGCACCTGATTCGGACTTTCCTCAGCATCTCGTCTGTCGGATCAGCAAGGCCCAATTGTCTGCTGATCCTCGCCAGTGAGATTAGATGGAGATGTCAGAACCATCGCAGGTACTTGCTCGATTGCTGAGTCATGAACGCTGTCGATAAGGGAAAGCCCTGAAAAACAGCCCTTTCCACAGTAATCAATTTTGACAGCCTGAGGAAAGCCTTGACAAACAGCCCTTTCCACAGTAATCAATTTCGACAGCCTGTTCAGACGACCATGTTTTATTGATGATTAATAATGGCTGATTTATAATCATAGTGCAACTTGAACATATATAACTCTGTCTCCGGGGTTAGTTGTGTCTTTGTCACGAGGTTAAGGATAGTTCACCGAGTAATTCACCGCGAGGATAATTCGCCTAATAGTTATTCTTCCCACTAATCGATCTGTTCTTTTCGGATAAATGAATGCCACGTCGTGGGAAGGAAGGAGAAAATTACACGTTACACATGCCACAGGTCTGGACGCTGGACATAAAATACGAAACTTTTGACTGATGGCGGGAAACAGAGGTCAGCGTCACATCATTGGCTTCGAAAGACCATGAAGATGTAAAGAAGACAAACTGTGAACAGACAAACTCATCTTATCGTCTATCGGCCGTAAACATAACACCGAGGTACATAATAAAATTTCTCCACTTGTTTCAGTACTGCTCTGTTGACCTGCAGAATGGCTGCAGCTGCAAATCTCGCCATAAGCACATGCATAGCAAGAGGGTCGTTAATACTGATTTGGTCTGATGTGCATTCAAAAAACTATCACTTCGAGTGTTCGTGATTTTCAGCTGACTTGGGAAGCGTTGTGTGCCTTCATTTGTATAGACCTCTTCGCATGCCATTCAGAATGTTTGAGAGATATTTGAAGAGCACGTTTAGCATTTGTCAAAGGACGTTGACAGACGGGACCTTCCGTCGGACTTCCCGATGATGACAAGTCAAAGAACGAAATCCGTCGCTGTCTGTCGAGGGTGAGTGATGCCATGAGGCCGTTCGTGGCACGATATCCAGGTTGCGTTGGACGGACGATACAATCAGCAACGACGAAAGGACGTACGAGGTGCACTTTTAACCCAGAAAAGGAAGGCGACGTGGCAACGGCCAAAAAAGGCGGTTTCGAAACAAACATGTTCATTAAAGACACTTTTCGGTTGACGCCGTGCTCATCAGTCAAGGCCCAATCTGCAGCGCTAGCGGTCGTCGTGAGTCATGCCTATCTCCGGGTATACGCGCCTTTCAGCTGCCATCATGATGTCCGGTTTGCTGTGGTGCTGCAACGTTGTTCTGTGTGAACATTCAGGTTTGCATAGAAACTCGGACGATTTCTGTAATACGTGCTAATATTTTGCGTTAGACAGCGGATCAACTGCTAGAAGCGAAATGTCGATTTCAAACTCAATTCTGACCGATGACCAAGAGGAAGAGGCAGAGGCAAACGCGGCGGCCATCAAAAAGGCAGCTAGCAGAAAACCAAGCCTGCAAAGACCCGGTGTGCAAACCCGTGATTCGGAATCAAAGAAGCATAAAATTGTTCGCCATAGCAAGCCTGGAACCGTCGCAAGACCACCAGCGTTTAGACCAGTTCATCCACCAGCCGCAAAACCCCGCAGGGAACAGACATCTTCAAAGTCAGAACTTGAAAATAGGAATTCTGCTTAACCTGTACATTTTTATTTATGTGCAGCAAATTGCATTTGCAGTATATAATGTTTCCTTGAAATTTTATTTCTAACTATAAATCTGTCGGTGTTTCATTATATTGACATAATTCAATGAGCTAATAGATGCAAATATATTCAACCCTTGCATGACATCATGAGAACAGTTTTTCTATGCACTAAGGCAAGATCAACTTTTTACCAATTTCTATTTGTATAGCAGGATGAATTACGGTAGCAACAGCGCTAATCTGATCTTTCGCGACTGACCACGATCACCATTACCGAGCTCTAATGGTTACGTTCGTCAGCCTCGTACGATTTATAGCCACAACCTTCCATATCTCTCTGTTTGCTCATCATCATATCTGACCCAATATCTTCAATTTGGAGTCATGTAGCCTCTTGGTGATCAATCCGACATTGTAGAAATCCATCGACCATCCATGAGACGTGCAACGTGACCAGTCCGTTGTTGTTAACTTTCTTGTGAAAGTAATGCAACGTCCTTCTTGCAAGAACAATTACCTTTTATGATGAAGTAGCAATTGTTGATCTATTTTAAGTTGCGGTGTCTGCTCTGAGATTCGAACTCTTAATTTACACAACAACGATTATTTTCGCAGAAAAAGAAGAGTATAGTGAAGTATATCTCACGTCTTCTTGGCCACAAATATTCTGTGAGCAGGTAAACTACAGCAGACCCGCATACAGCAGTATCTGATCCGCATTTTCAACAGGTCATAATGACAATCTCGCTGTGTTAAGACCACTCTCTGGAATACGAATTGAATATGTATAAAATTATGTAACTGCAATAACTCTAGGACACTGATGCAACTCGGAGATGAACAATATATTACTTCATAAAAATAAACACAAATCTTATCGGTTTACTGGCGTACTAGCAGTTTTCGAAACCATTGTTTAAAATTGACATTCCTCCTTTGATACCGGATATAAACGGTGTAATGGTACTGTCCCTTTAATTCTAGTCGCCTAGGAGACCATTTACGTA